TGTCGGCTTCAAAAATAGACTTCCACGCCTGGGCCTTAGCTCGAGCCTCCTTGAGCTCCCCTTCTAAGGAAGCTGCAGCCTCCTGGGCGGCTGAGGAGGCCTCCTGTTCCTTCCCAATGAGAAGGTTACGCTCCTCCAGTTCGGCCTTCATCATAAGGGTAGCCTGGCAGATGGCAGCATGGGTTTGAAGAAAGAAAAGAAAACAAACAAAGTGTCAGCCCCATAAAAATTGCGAAGACGAGTAACATCAGATCTTACCTCGGCTGAGTAGTCCAACATTCGTTGGATGGCCGACCCCGAAGCGCTAACAAACTTGGATGCCCTCCTCCAACAGCGATCGAAGAAGGTGCTTGACATCCTCATGGCACTCTCTCTCACCCCGGCGCTCGAAGGTTCGATCTTAAACCTCATATCGATGTCTGAAGTCTCTCCCATTCTCGCCTCAGGATCATCGATCAAATCCTCGAAAGGACTAACTCGCCGCGCAGCACGAACCTCCCTCACCTCTTCCTCGGAGTGGTGGGTCTTGCGTTTCTTCTTCTTGGACTTCTTGGGGGAGGCCCTCCTCCGAACCTCCCTAAAGGGGGAGACCTCAAGGATCTCCTGATCCTGAAAAGTTCCAACCACAGCAGCTTCCTGCAGTGAAGCCACTCTGCGTTTGACCTCAACCACCTCGGTGGGAGGGTCAACAACAGTAGAGTTTGGTGCCTCCTTAGTCTTGGAAGCCTGCCCAACGCGAGGACGTTTGCGCCTGACATCCTGGGAGAAGCTGCACTCCATGGCTGCCAAGACAGCAAATAAGGGTTAAACATGGAAAAAAGGGAATTTAAGTTAAGTACGAAATACCCCAAGGGTAACCAACCTAATTCCGAGTTCGATCTCCAAGCTTCGGGTGAGGCTAAAAGAGGATTGTAATTGAGCAATCCGGAGGCAAGAAGAAGCTTATCTGTTATAAGGGTGCTGATTTGCTTGTCACTCTTGAATCTGCCTTTGAAGAACTTCAAAGCATTAAAGGTCGGCTCAGAAAGTTGAGGGATCGGCTTTTTAGCAACGGAAAACATCGAAGCCATGGGTTATAGCGTAAAGAGAAAACGATTAAAAGCAAGTAAATACTCCACGCCTTACCTAAATTCCCAAAACTACAGGGGACGTTTTGGAATGGCAAGTTGGACTCGTTCTTGGCCAACCACGCTCCGGAGGCGAATAACCATTTTCCAACCCACTTCTTTATGGAGGTTGGACCTTTCAGAATGCCTCTCGCACCCTTTCTAGCACACAAGTAGTACCTCTCCAGCTTCCTAGAGATCTGCTTGACCTCAAAGCAGGTTAAAAGCTGGTCAACTCTGAGGAGGTCTAGATCGTCTACCTCCCTACACCTTAGCCAAAATAAGAAGGCTAGGCTAAAGATGACTCCCCATCCATTGGGGGCCACTTGAGTAAGAGCTAGCCCAGTTCGGACTAAGAACTCCTGCACCAAAGGATGAACGAGTAGGTGGAAACCGTACTCGAATATCTTCAAATAAAGGGTCTCACACCCCTCCGGAGGATTATCAGCTCGCTCCCCTTCCTTAGGAAGCCTAAGGATGATGCCATCTGGAATACTATATCTCCTACGAAGGGGGCCGAAGTAGTTCTCAGGCATTTGGGAAGGGTACTCTAAACCTTAGCCCGAGGTCGAGGTATTGCTATCATCCCCGTCATCCTCGGAGAACCTAAAGTTATCTATTTATTCCTCCAGTTCGAGGTCCAACCTACTCGCAAACTCCTCTACGGAATCGGCCTTCTTAGGTGAAGAATCCCGACTCTGAGCTGCGCTACTAGAGGAATTATTACAATACAAACTTGAGGAACTGGGAGACGTCGACATGACTTGACAGATTATAAATACGAAACAAAGGCAAAGGAACGAGACTGACTTAGAGAAAGCCTTGGGGGTATTTATAGTAACCCGAGATTTAATCCTTACCGCACACATGTCCAGAAAAGGACGACCCAGATCGGAGGAAGTCCGAACGTCAAAGGTACTCGAGTGGGCGCCGAACACCGGTTCCATTTTCGAGGTTTTTCAACGGTAATAATTACTATGACGACATCTGAAGTCACCACGTGGATTAACTTCGCAAGAAGAATAACTTCTCTGCCAGATCAAGATTGAACCTGGCAGAGAGGGGGCCAATATTTGGGGGGAAAATCCTATTGTGACGTGGAGGACGGTGATTCGCCATCGAAAAAAGAGCCAAAAGAATAACTTGTAAAGGTTCATCTCGAAGGCTTTCGAGGTGGGAGACTTCCCCATTTTACACAAAGAATTAACTTGCCATTTCAGGAAAATGTTCGAGTTCGATCTGCTCGAGCCCAACACGTCCGACCTCAAATCCGACCAAGGTAACCGCCTATCGTGACCCGTGTCGGAACCTAAGCCTATAAATAGAGGGCCTCATTTAACTATCAGGTATGAAATTTCTCCTCAAACTTAATATTGAGTCTGAGCGGCTTACTGACTTGAGTGTCAGAGATTTTGCCCTCTTGTCAGATCTTCCCTTAGCTTTCAGGTCAGAGCAAGGATCGGGTTCGAACTAATTTGAGGTTGTGCAATTTCTTGCCTAAACAAATAACTTTAGACGTGAGTTGAATAATAATACCATATATATTCGAGTTTGAAATGTTTAGGTCAAATTTTTTTATCGTGCCATTTTTTTGTTTTCTCCTTATACATCTTGACATTTATGTAAGAAAAATGCTACGTTTAATTCAGCTCATTTAGTTGGAGTTTCCTCTCCTCACATGCAGTGCAGTAGACAAATTAAAGTTTAGTTTTCTATATTCAAGTTCAAGAGGTAAATGACAAGTTTTCTAAAAACTAGACGAAGAGGAGACAAGAAGAGCAAACTTAATAGGATAACAATTATATATATTACAAATATGGGCTTGAGATTTTCCTCGGACTTTTCCATTGTTTCGAGCGAATTTCATGAAATTCAGGTCACTTATCTTTGAACTCGTCCGAGTTTTCACATATTGTTTATGCTTCAGACTTCACAAATTTTCATAAAATTAGGGGTAGTTTTGTACTTTCACCTTCATTGACACGTTAGAAAAATTATTTTCAAAAGTTACATCATTTGAGTAAATTGAATAACTTTTTAAGTCAAATTTATCAATTTCCCCATACTCAACTGCAATCTGCAATTTGAAATTAAGCTTCCAACGCTGCGCTTCTTAAGAAGGGTTTGGTAGTGATTGAATTTGGAAACCCGAGCTAAACCCCTACCGGTCTATGGTCTGACAGTTTCAACAATCAATTTTTGAAAACTCAAACCTTTGGTTGTTGGAATGCTCGCGATTAGGGAGGGGCTCCTCTTTGCAAAAACCTAAATTTGAAAAATTTGTAGATTGGGTCTAATTTGTTTGAATCCAGTTAATGACTTGAACAGAGAAGACAAACATTTTCTTCATTTGAAGTGTTGGATAAAGGATATCTCTAATTTAATATCAAGTCTTGCATGCTAAAGATTCACTCACATAAAAAGGCAATGACTCACACCTAAGAGCAACATTCTATGTTTCTTCAAATACTTGGCTTTATTCTCTACTCACTTAAGTAAAGCTTTGCTTTCAGGATTCTGTAATTTCTAATCTTAGTTTTTTTAGTACAATAAATAGGGATTAAGATTTAAACTCACGACATTTCAGTCGAAGATAAATATTAATTATTGTCGAGCTAAATTTATGTTGTCACTTCCCTAATTGATCATTCCTTTTATAATAATAATAAAAAAAGAAATTAGCATAGTAAAAGAGAAGAGTAATTTAGAAAGAAAAGAATCTAAAATAGTAAAAAGGGCTCTATTAAAAAAATCACAAGACATTTGTGAAATATCTATTTTGGAAATAATTCATTACTTGAATTTATGTATAAGAAGCTAGTCCGAGTTAAAATTTAAAATATTAAATACAAAATTCAAAAAGAGACGACCACATTCAAAATGGTCAAATTTAAATAACCCGGGCGCCATGTTGCATGGTCGTCCCACAAAGGATGGTCGTCTCTTTTTGGTTTTTTAAAACCACCATATTTTTAAAAAAAGTTTCAAAAACTACCCTATTTTGAATATTTTAAATTAAATAACAATATTTTTAAAATAAGTTTAATATATAATAATATTAAAAAAAAACCCAAAAAATTACATAAAATCTTCGTCCCCAAGAAAAATGTGTTTGCACGCCGCGCACAAAGCCCCAGAATCGACTACAGTTTTAAACTCAGCTTCGAACGCTGCGCCTCCCAGTCGCTCAGAAGGGTTTCTCTGGATCAATCTCCCCCATTTCTTCTCCGTTCGTCCCCAGGATGAGGTATTTTTTTCATCATTTCTCTGTAACTTCACATCTTCTAGGATCCGTATTGAATTATCTAGCTTTTGCTGTTGCGTTTTTAGCTGTTTTTTACTATTCGCCCCCTTTTCTTGGGAATAATTTTGTGGAAGATATTGTCTGTAATATGTATGAATGGCTGCAAGGCTGGTAAATGTGGCTTAGAATTGATAGATTTAGGGTTTTGATCGCCTTGAAGCTTCATGTGTTTGATGGTATGATGTGATCATAGCCATAGTTTTTTTTTTCCGTGTACGCAGCAGTCGTAATCCGGAGGTTCTATGGGCTCAGCGTTCGGATAAGGTTTATCTGACGGTTGCTTTACCTGATGCCAAAGATATTTCTGTGAAGTGTGAACCTCATGGGTTATTTAGTTTCTCTGCGAAGGGGTTGCAAGGCGCATCTTTTGACTTCACGTTGGAACTCTTTGGGTCCATAGTGCCTGAGGTGAGCTCTTGACTTAGTTTTGTTTTGATGTACCTCTTTCTTCTGTTTAGACTGATCTTAATGTGTTCAATATTTATTGGCTTTGCTTGCTAAAAAGTTTAGGGTCTTTACTTTGTATTTATACGACAGTTTTCTCCTTGCTCAACAGGGCTGTAAAACTAAGGTTGGCTTGAGGAACATAATTTGCTCCGTACAAAAAGAACAGAAAGGTTGGTGGAAAAGACTCTTGAAGACAGAAGCAAAGCCTGCTCCGTACTTGAAGGTTGATTGGAACAAATGGTGTGATGAGGATGAGTCAGACTGTAAGTTCTTACATATATCATATATGCTGTTCGTATCTGAAATGCAAACATAGAGAGAGATAGGATTATAATTTGTGAAATGAGAGAAGAAGCACTTACATCAGCTTTGAGCTAAGCACTTACACCAGATTGATAGGACTATAAGTTGTTAAATAAACACCCATGATAGACTGCAGCGCCAGCTCCCTTACCTCATGCTATCTCCTCATTGGTGTGTCCTTTGTATAGAAGATGGGGAATCTCCACATCATATCTTCCGCACATGCTCATTTGCATCATTGTTTTGGGACAAGATCCTCATTGATGTTGATTGGAAATTGGATCTCCCTTATGACACCAAGACCTTACTCTCTTTTGTTTTAGTGGGTCACCTATTCAAGAAAGAAAAGGAGATCCTTTGGACACACATTATACAAGCGTTTTTATGGACCACTTGATATGAAAGGAATCATAGGATCTTCTCCGCTAAAGAACTTCCCTTTGCTAGAATCTTTGACAGCATCATTTTTCTTGCTATGTCTTGGTGTAAATTATCTCCCCTTACTATAGTATAGATATACTTTTATATACATTGTTGACCAATTGAAGAAGTTTCTTGTAACTCCTTTGGTTTGCGGATCCTTTAATTTCACTCATCAATGGAATTGTTTCTTATAAAAAAAATTGTGAAATAAGAAGCACTTGCACCAGCTTAGAGCATGAATAAGAACCAATTCGAACTTTCTAACCATATGTACCATAAGAACGCTCTAATAAGCTAAGAACCATTTCAAAAAACCTATACAAGGAAGAAATTTGTTATTGAAAGTCTGGTTATTCTTTTCTAACCATATGTACCATAAGAACACTCTAATAACTAGACCCTGAGAGTCTCCTTTTCTTTCTTGAAAGGACGGCCACCAATATTGCAGATATTTTTTTTGATAATAAACAAAGATTCATTCCAAAAGAAAAGGAGTCCAAAAAAAGAGGCATACAACCTATGGGCGAAGGGTCGAGAAAACCCTCCCCCAAGAAACAAAGAAGCTATACAATCAAGGAATAGCTTGATATGAATCTTGCAGATATGAAAGTATCCATAATAAGTTTCTCCTTTTGGTATTCAAAAATTTGAGTTTTCCACTCTATACATTTCAAAGATTTTGAGTATTGCTGATGTTTTAGTGTCCTTATTTGTCATTGCTTTAATAATTAATTAATTAATTAATTTTTTTTTTGATGAGAAACACATATTTCATTAATATGGTGAAATATAGAAAAGGGATAAACCCAGGGGAGGGGAGTTAACAAAAAGGCCCTCCGACTTATTAAAAGGTCATTTAAGGAATAACTTGAAAAAGAGTTAAAATAACATTTACACCAGCTTAGAGCCAAGACCAAAACACCATTAAAAAACTATTGAACAGCTGGAATTTGTTGCTGAATGTTCTGTTGTTTCTTTCTGTCCATAACACCAAGTGAAGACTAACGAAAAGGGACCCCATAATCTTTTTATCCTTTTTGAATGGGTGACCCCCCAAAGAATCTTGAAGGAGATGTGTGATGTTATTCAGTGGAATTTTCCATTCAGAAGATTCTATCAAAAACCTCCAGAGGAGGAACTTGGCTTTTTTGGGTACTTCTCTTTCCAAATGTTGTAAAAAATCAGAGAGCGTTGAGAAGCCTATCCAGAAATTAGTTCCTTAAGGAGAGATTTGTCCGAGACTTTTCTTGAGGGGTCTGTTGGCCAGAACCATTTGTCTTCTGCAAGGGAGGAGGGTGTATGTGTGACGAGTTTCTGCATGAGAGCCATCCACTCTGTTACCACTTCTTATTCTTCAAGGGTTCTAAGAAAAAGTTTTGGCAGCAAATCTTCTTGAGAAGCTGTTCCAGAAATTTTCTATAGGAAGGTCTGAATATTAGTGGGAAAGCTCATCTTATAAATGGGCTAAACTTTCAATCCTCGTTCCTTAGTGGCAACCTTGGCATTGGCAATATCAAGCTCAGGAACAAAACTTTGCTATCCAAATGGACATGGAGGTTTATTACTGAAAGGAAACAACTATGGAGGAGATTCATTATCGCCAACTATGGCACAGCAGACCTTGATACATGGCAATTGGCAATCTACAAAGGCTAATGGAAAGCTATTATTGGTCACATTGAGTTAAGCCATATGTAATAGAAAGCAGAAGCCCTATTTTTTGGCATGATGCTTAGCTGCAAGGTGTCACAATCGCACTTTAACGGGACTCAAGAAGCGATTGTGCAGCACTTGCTTTCACCCTCTAGCAAGTCAGCCAATGCGGAAACGAATAGCCGGTGGCACAAAGGCTATATGTCGCAACCTCCACCCCCGTTCTCGA